GAAAACTGGACAGCAACATGCAAAAACCTGAAACTGGACCACTTTCTTACAGAAGAATAAATTGAAAATGGATGAAAGACCTAAATGTGAGACCTGAAACTAAAATATCCTAGAAGAGAACACAGGCAGTAACGTCTCTGTCATCAACCATAGCAACATTTTTCTAGATATGTCTTCTGAGGCAAAGAAAACAAAGCAAAAATGAACTATTGGGACTACATCAAAATAAAAAGCTTCTGCCCAGCAAAGGGAATAATCACCAAAATTAAAAGGCAACCCATGGAATGGGAGAAGATATTTGTAAATGACATATCTGATAAAGGGTTAGTATTCAAAATACATAAACAACTTATGAAACTCACCACCTGAAAAACAAATGATCCAATTAAAATATTGGCAGAAGACATGAATAGACATTTTTCCAAAGAAGACATATAGATGGCCAACAGACATATCACTATCACTTATTATCAGGGAAATGCAAGTCACAACCACAATGAGGTATCACCTCACACTTGTGAGTGTGATTAACAACACAAGAAACAACAGGTGCAGGCAAGGCTGTGGAGATAAAGGAGTCCTCTTGCACTGTTGGTGGGAATGCAAACTGGTACAGCCACTGTGGAAAACAGTTGGGAGGTTCCTCAAAAAGTTAAAAGTAGAACTACCCTACAATTCAGCAACCACACTCCTGGGTACTTACCTAAAGAATACAAAAACATTAATCCAAAGATACGTGCACTCTTATGTTTATGGCAACATTAATTACAATAGCTAAACTATGGAAGCAGCCCAAGTGTCCACTTATTGATGGAAAAAGATGTGGTACATATATACAATGGAATATTATTCATCTATAAAAAAGAATGAAATCTTGCTATTTACAATAACATGGATGGAGATAGAGAATGCTAAGTGAAATATGTCAGTCAGAGAAAGACAAATACCATATGGTCGCTTATATGTGGAATTTAAGAAATAAAACAAAGAAGCAAAGGGGAAAAAAAGAGAGATAAACCAAGAAACAGACTGTTAACTATAGAGAAGAAACTGATGGTTGCCAGAGGGGAGGTGGGTGGGTGGGGGATGGGTGAAATAGGTGATGGGGATTAAAGAGTACATTTATCATGATGAACACTGAGTAATGTGTTGAAATGTTGAATCACTCTATTGTACACCTGAAACTAATAGAACACTGTATGTTAACTAACTGAAATTAAAATAAAAACTTTAAAAACAGAAAATATACAAAAAGTTATAAAAAGGTGTAAAGTTACATAGTATATATCGTGCTAATATATATATGTATACATTATATATACATATATATTATATATAATATGTATATATATATACATACAAACATACAATGGCCCTAGTTATTCATATTATCTTTTCACCTAACAATTATTATGGGAATTTATTATTATTGTTTATGAAGACATTCCTAGTTATTTTAAGTGCTAAATATTATTTCTTGTGTGAATATAGCATAAAATATTCTATCAATCCCCCACTGATAGATGCTTAGGTGATTTCCAAGTTCCCAGTCTTAAAAACCATGCTGTAATGTGTATCCTTATGTATGCTTCCTTGTGAACATGTATGAAAATCATTGGGTAATTTTCTAGAAATGCAATTGCTAGTTGGAAAAATATGTGCCTTGATCATTTTTATTAACAGTGGGCCTTAATATGAAGTAGCCTTTGTGTTAAGTAAGACAGCAACAGAGCATATGTAGAATTCAGTGATGTTTTTCTGTTTGTTAGCCAGATGGAAATCAGTGAATGAGACTCCCAGAGCCAAAAACTCTGTTGAGAGATTCTCACAAGTAGTGTGTAGCAAGGAGGAAGACTCATCAATGTGGCAGTGGCAGGAGGGCAGGACTCTTATTCTGATATTAACCAGGATTTTAATCTTGTAAGTTTCCTGAGACATTACAGAAAGTCCTTTGTTTGAAATACTTCAAAGCAGAAAAAAAAAACCCAACATGTAGTCAGAAGGTAGAGAAATTAGAAACATCTGGTAAGTTTGGTTGCCGACCTGGCTTGTGCTGACATGGAGATGTAATAACCAGGCGGTTGACTAGTCCAGTCTAATTTGGGTGAATAATATTTTCTCAGCAGTCTCCTGGCCACAAACTATCAAAAAGCAATGGGAACATGCTGTAAAGTGCCTTGATGCCCAGAACAATTACACTCTGGAAACATTCTCTTGGCTGGCTGAATGTGACCTATGACCACGGCTCAGTTCATTCCACAAACAGAATTAGTCACAGAGCACATGTGAAATAACACTCTTTGTAGGACTTTTCTTGTGTTAATTTTCTAAGTGCATGATGCCATGATGGGTGCTCACACTTTGGAGTGCTGTTTATTACCTCATAATAGCAGGGATGGAAAATAATGCAACACTTTTCTTTATATAATTATACCAGTAGCATTTTCCCCATGTGGTTATGGATTGTACTTTTTTCAGAGCTATCTTATATATGAATGAGGCCAGTATAAGAATCTGGCTTTGGTTTAACATATTTTTACTATCTTAATGTCATGCAAATAACATGCAAGTTACTTGTGTTCTAAGAAACGGATTGATTTTCAGTTCAGCCCTGTTATCTGTCTGATCACTTTCTTTTTTTAAAAAAACATTTTTTTTAACGTTTATTTATTTTTGAGACAGAGAGAGACAGAGCATGAACAGGGAGGAGCAGAGAGAGAGGGAGACACAGAATCTGAAACAGGCTCCAGGCTCTGAGCTGTCAGCACAGAGCCCGACGCAGGGCTCAAACTCACGGACCGTGAGATCATGACCTGAGCCGCAGTCGGAGGCTTAACCGACCAAGCCACCAGGCGCCCTTGTCTGATCACTTTCTGATCCATCTCTGATCTCATGAAGGAAAATTAATTACTTCACTTTCATGTAATATGTGTGTATTTCAAACATAAACCAGTTGATTTACTTGTCACTTTGCATTTTAATTTATTTATTTATCTGTCTCCAACTAGGTGTTTACTCCTCAAAGTTAGGAGTATTTTATTTTGTAAACTACTCTTGGTGACTGTCAAAGTGCCAAATTCATAATAAGTAAAGAATAAATGTTTATAACATGAATGTATCAGTCAGCTAATCAGAGACCATGAGGTACTTTGATATAAAATCCAATCTAGCTGCTAATCATTTTTCTCCAGTGAGTACATTCTTGCATTTGGGTTTCTTAAAACTTTTTTTTACTAATCCCTATTGTTGGGTGTTTTCCAAAGGCAGCTGTGAGTTTCTGAGTATATATTCTGAAAGCATCAGTATGTAATTCTGTAATTAGTCAAGATAGACCAATTTTGTGATACCACTTTCAAAGACTTCTGAAGATTCTGTTATTTGATGGGAAGAGTTTGTTCTAACTGAAAATTATAGTGTCTTGCTTTCTCCTACACCGGGACATTATAGCCTAAGAAATGTCCTAAATACTGCATCAAATTAAAGAAGCTTCAAAAAGTATCTCTTATCAGGAATCTATTTTCTGAATTATTTGTAAACTGCATCATCAAAGTGTGTCTATCAAGCACTGACATGCAGCTAGTACATCCCTGAGTACCATACCGATTAAGTTGTCTATGTAGACCCGTGATGCAGCACAGTTGTGTTGTTTTTACAGTTCTTTTCAATTCTGGATTCTGTATCCCTCTGATTTTGCTTAGAATTCTATTTGCTTGAAAGTTGAACATGAGGTTTAGTTATTGATTCTTCCTTTGTAACTTAAAAAAATTTTTTTTAATGTTTTATTTTATTTTTGAGAGAAAGAGAGAGAGAGCACAAGCAGAGGAGGGGCAGAGAGACAGGGAGACACACATTCAGAAGCAGACTCCAGGCTCTGAGCTGTCAGTACAGAGCCTGACATGGAGCTCGAACCCACGAACTGTGAGATCATGACCTGAGCCGAAGTGGGACGCTTAAACGACTGAGCCACCCAGGCGCCCCTGTCACTTTTAATTTTCAAAAACAATCCTTCCTAGTCTGCGGAAGAAAGCATTTTCTTGGGCCCATTCTCCTCAAAGCTCCTGCCTTAACCTTTCATTTTATGTGGTCTAGCCCAATTTGATGTCAAACCTTTGTTCTTTCTTTTGTAGGAATATAGGTGCATTAAGGTATCATCAGGCAAGACACAATGATGTTATTATATACCTTTTCTGTTTCACAAGGACTAAGGGATGTGATTCAAAATATGAAAGTCAAGATTTTATTTACAATAGAGAATGTTGGGATATATGTTAATAATAGAGTCAAGCTATGTTGTGTAGCTTTGAGAAAATTATGTAATATTTCCAAGTTTCCTTCCTTGTCTTTAAAATATGATGAAGGTTGTAAATGATTCTGTTGAGTGTCTTGTGTAGCTGATACATAGTAGGCACTAAAAATGACAGCTAATAGAATTTAAAGCTGCAAAAAATCCTGGGAGAAATAATCTTTCTGAGCTTGGTATATATGTGACATGCATGCTGCCACTCCATGTGGCCCTGCTAATGGGTCAGTAACTTTTTCATTGTTTCTGCGTGCAGCTCTAGGATTACTTATAAGTAGCCAATGCCAGGTAACCAAAGAAGAAAAATGAGTTGAAACTGTTTTTTCATCCCTCATAGAGTCCAATCCTTTCATATTATAGGAGAGAAACCTGAGGCCTAGAGAAGTTACATGATTTCCTCAAGGCGGTATGCATTTAGTGAGTGGTCAGAACCTGTACTAAAGTCAGAACTGTTAATTCAGATCTCTTTCATTGCAATATTGGTCAGACTTGTGCACCTTCTTTCATAATAACCAGAGCCGAGACTCATTATCACTTGCCATTTTTTCTCAAGCAAATAAATTAACCCATGATTTTTTTTGAATTGATATCTACTGGTTTATATAAATGAACCCTACTGACCACTTTACACTGGTGATTATATGTATTTTTTTAAAAGCCATGGTGTTTGATTCAAACCTTCTGTTCTATTGGCTTTCAGAAAAGAAGCCCGAGGGTCAGCAGATGTTGAAGGAGGTATAATCAAGGTAAACAATTAGATAAATAGAAGAAGTTTCCTAAGGAAGACTAACTCTAAACATTTTCCACATCTTCTTTGATCATTTGACTTTTTTTTTTTTTTCTGGTCTGTTATATTATGCTGAAATTTTGGGTTTGAATCCTCTGAAGCTGGCAGCAGTTAAATTAATCCTTTTTACTGAGAACATGCTCATGCTTGCTAACAACTACAAAATTAATTTGGACTTCCTTAGCCAAAGGAAAAACAGGATGAGAAAAGACAACGCAAAGTCTCTTTTCTCATCACTTATGCCTCCACCCCCACTGTTTTTTGTTTGTTTTAGTTACATTTTCAAATATTCTCTCATTTTCCCATGTTCTGCATTCACTTAGAAAATCTTCTAATAGCACAGAGGACAAACAGGAGTTCCAGAAGTGCTGACTCATCGCAGCAGAAGTCCAGTGGTTTGGCAGGAGACTTAATTTTAAAATGTTGAAATTGGCCCTTTTAAAAATAAGCCCATGGCAGCAGATGTCACTGTTGGTCCATCTTAACTTTAGGGCACTTCTTGAGCAGTGTTTGCTCTGAGCCTATGAGCCCCAGAATCCTAAGTGTTAGGCAGCAGTGTCTTGTGGGACATTTCACGATGGTCTGTAGCACTAATGTGAGGGCCAATTTCTTACCCCTGGGGCCCAATTTAACTACATAGAACTTTTAATATTATGATTATGATTCTCATTCTAATGTCATTTGCCTTTTTAAAATAGGGATCTTTTCCTCGAGGCTCAAATTGTCTTTGTTTCTTTCCTCTTTCTGTGTGTCATTTCCTAAGCATAGAACAGCTTTCTTTTTTTTTCTGCTAGGACATGCTTATTTATTCATGTATAGATTTCCTGAGTTCATGTATAAATTTCCGGAATTCTTACATTTTCTAAGGTACTTTCTTCAACATTAATTTTTTTGCTGTTAACTATGATGCAGTCAACTTTCACTTTTCTGAGTAAATAATTTGTGCCAGTTGTCTGCCTATCGTCTCTCAGTTTCAGGTCCTCCTTTTTGACTCTATTCTGTGGTACTAGGACCCTGCAAATTTCATTCCTCAGATTTTCTTGCCAGATTCTTGGAGGTTTTAGAGTGGGTCTGGAAGGTATTGGAGAGTGGGCTTTCTATATAATGAGAGAGGGTATAGACTTTTATGGTTTTAAAATTTGTACCATTCTTCTTGGCCTCAATTCCAAAATGGCAGTTCTCCTGAGATTCTGCTGGTGGCCCCAGCTATGGAAGTGACTCCAGCCTCCAGATGCTTTTGGCACTTCTAGAACAAGTCTCATTGTGTTCCCTTAGAAGTTCCAGCAACAGCCAGCCCAAGTCCCTTTTTTAAAGCATCCACTCTGGGGCCTTGATCTTGTAGCTTCTAGGTTCTGGTTTTCTCCATCTTTTCCCTTTGGTACTTTAACCTCAGGCATTGTGGCTGTTTACTGAGTGTCCTATTTTTGCATATGCAGCCATCTTAACACCTGCAGAACCAATTCCCTCCAATAAGTTCTCTCTGTTAAGTGTGGGTTTCTATTTTCTTAACTTGTAAAATCTCTCTCTCTTCTCTCTCTCTAGTCATATATATTTCAAATTATATTTAATGTGAAAAGTAGGAAAAAAGCAAGTAGCAAATTCATTGCATTGTTTTTTTTTTACTATTTATTTATTTATTTATTTATTTATTTATTTATTTATGAGAGAGAGAGAGAGAGAGAGAGAGAGAGAGAGAGAGAGAGAGAGAAACAAAAAACAGAAACAAGCAGGGGAAGGGCAGAGAGAGAGAGAGACAGAGAGACAGAGAGAGAGACAGAGAGAGAGAGAGACAGAATTGGAAGCAGGCTTCAGGCTCTGAGATGTCAGCACAGAGCCTGATGTGGGGTTTCAACTCACAAACCGTGAAATCCTAACCTGAGCTGAAGTCGGATGCTTAACTGACTGTAGCCACCCAGTGCCCCTGACTTTAAAGTTTATTTATTTATTTTGAGAGTGAGAGTGAGCGTGCAAGTGGGAAGGGGCAGAGAGAGAGGGAGAGAGAGAGAATGCCAGGCTGGCTTCACGCTGTTAGTGCAGAGACTAACACTGGGCTTGGTCTCACGGACTGTGAGATCATGACCTGAGCTGGTTGCTTAACTGACTGAGCCACCCAACCATCCCATTGCATTGTGTTTCTGATTTATATTTAAAAAATGCTTCCCTGATTTGAGTCTTCAGCATGAGATATGTATGTGATGATTTTGACTACTTGATATGGAATATGTTTTGTGAAACGTGTATATACCTCTTGATAGGATCAAAGCGAAAACTGATGTGAACATTGTTAGTAATTTCTCATCTCAAAATTTTTGCCTATGGGGTTCTAGTTAGGTTTTACAATTACTAAAACCACTTGATGCCTGTTTTCTATCCGTGATCTAATTTATACTTCATTTTACAGAAAGCAAACCAAGGCCTTGGAGAGATGAAGGGGCTTCCTTAAGGTCATACAAGTGAGTTGTTAGAAACCTAAAGCAGAACTCAGTCTAGTTTTCTTTCTTTTGCCTCAAGCTGCCTTTAGTTGCTCGTGATTTAGCATATATCCAGTGCCAGGATTTGTTAGCATTTGGTAAGCAATGAACATAAATAATGTAATAATCCAGGGTTTCTTTGGACTAATCATAGTTACATTAATGTGCCATGCTGAGAACTTTAATTTGGAAGAGATAATTAAAGAAGTTGTTGCTTTCTATGAAAGTCAATTACTTCTTTATACTACATGTTTATTCATTCATTCACATTCAGTGAATATGTACTACTTAATTAATATGTGCTATTATTAATATGTATTAATGTACACTTATTAATATGTACTAATGTACATGTGTCTGGGTATTAGTATCATTTTGACTGTTTTAGATCTGTCAACATCCCCTCTTTCTGTTCACAGCAGTGCTTGCATAAATTGGGCTACATTAACTTATTCTACTTCCTCAATTCTTTTCTATTAAACCCCCTACAATGTAGGTTCTGCTCCTTTTCTGTTGAAACAGTCTTTGAATTCGCCAATGACCTACATATCACCCAATCCAATAAACACTTTCCTGCTTTTGTCTTGACCCACTTTCTGTTGCAATTGACGTTGTTGACCACCACTATCCTTCCTGAAAACTCTCCCTTTCTTCCTAGATATTTCTCTACTAAGTTGTTCTCTGTTTCCTATTGCTAGTTCTCACATCTCCTATGTAGGATCTCAGATATCAGTGACCTCCAGATCTCTGTTCTTGGTCTTGTGCCCTCCTCATTATATTTTCTCCCCCACATGACCCTATTTTGTCTCACTTTCTGACCTTCTACCATCATTTCTGGGAATCTCAAGATTCCCAAATCCGTGTCTCTAACCTAGACCTCTTTCATAATCTCCACTGTACATCTGTTTGCTGGAAAGCCACTCCATCCACAAATAGCTTTGTTCCATCCATACCAAAGCACTTGCAGCTTTTGTTATTATCATGTTCCATATCTCTGTATTTCAGATCTTACCCCTATTTGGAATGCTTCACTTCTTGTTCACTTTCTTCATATAGTTAAATTTTTTTGAAAGCCCAACAACCTCATTTCAAATATCTCAGTTTAAATGCCTTATTTAAACAGCTCCCTTAGTTAAAATATTTCTTTGAGAAACAGTCCTGCCTGATACTCCATTGTTCACACTTCTTTTCTTGTTTATACTTTTCTTTTACTCAGACCACAATCCTAATGCTTGACTGTTACCATTGCTTTGCTTTTCTCCCTTACTAGTTTCTTTTGGTAGTCTCCAAAGATGAATGCCATCAATATCTCATCTTCCTGTACATGTATGCTGCTTCTCACATAAAGAGAGGGAGGCTCTTTCCCCTCTTCTTGAATGTGCACTGGACTTTTGACTTGCTTTAGCCAACAGAGTTTGGCAGAAGTAACATTCTGACATTTCTTAGTGCAGGCCCCAAGGGGCTTGCAGCTTTCTTGTCTTTACCTTTTGCATCCTAATTGCCATGCTTTAAAGATATTCAAGTTAGACATCTGAATGATCAGACGTCACAGAGACACCCTGAAGAATGAAGGCTATTATGAACATTCTAACCCTAGTTAAGCTTCCAATGAATGTAGCTATACGAATGACCTCTTCAAAACTGAGTAGTTGCTCTCAAGTCTACTTACTTATCAGAATCATCTGGGGAGCTTTAAAAATTATTGCCTCTTGGAGGCTTTTATTTGATAGGTCTGTGCTGTAGCCCAAATCTGTTTTTAAAAAACACTAAACTATGGGGTACCTGGCTCATTCAGTCCAAGGAGTATGTGACTCTTGATCTCAGCTTTGTGAGTTTGAGCCCCATGTTGGGTGTAGAGATTACTAAAAATAATTAAAAGAAAAGAAATTAGGAAAGGCTCTTCACATTTTTGAGTTTCAATTTCTCCACCTTCAAACTGAGGATAATATTATGTATTTTAAAAAGCACTAAGCTATTATCTACAAGATGTATTTCTGATGATACAAAGGGCTGTTTTGGATTGTTCAGAACACTTGTGAAGGTGGATAGAAGATAGTCTTTTTCTATTTAAACAGAGGAAATATGTACTCCCAGAGAAAGAGACAAGAATAATAGACTGTTGAAGGCATCTAGATTAACTAAACAAGGGGTTCACAAACCTGTATGCAAATCAGAATTGTCTGGGAGCTTGAAAATACCAATGTCAGTACCTACTGCAGAACAATGACATCAGAATTCCTGGGTATCAGTCACCGGCACCCACTGCAGACTAATAATATTAGAATTTCTGTGGGTGGAGCATCCAGTGGTGAGAACCATCTTGAACAGAGGTTTGCAAATGGTTTCTGTAAAGGGGCAGACTAAATATTTTTGGCTTTGGTATTTGAAATATTATTGGCCACATGGTCTCGGTCCCATTACTCAACTCTGCTGTTGTAGCACAGAAGTAGCCATAAATAAGACATAAACAGATGAAAAATGCTCATGTTGTAATAAAAATTTATGTATGAGCACAAATTTGAAACTTTAGTTTTCTGACCCTTGAACTTGAACAAACAACACCTAATTTTAAAAATTTTCAACTTTATTGGGATAAGATTGGCATGGACAATTGTTAGATATTTAAAGTGTACATTGTGGTGAATTGATATACATATATGTTGTGAAAAGATCCCCTCCCCATCTAGTTAATTAACATACCATTGCTTCATGTATTTATCTTTTTTTCTTTTTTTGGTGAGAACTTTTAAGTTCAAATCTATTTGCAAATTTCAATTGTACAAATGTTATCAACTTTAATCACTATGTTTTATCTGGCAACAAATTTTCTAGTCTCTGTTTCTATGAATTTGAATCCCCCACCCCTGGATTTTACATATAAGTGATGCAGTATTCGTCTTTCTCTGTCTGGCTTATTTCACTTAGCATAATGTCCCCAAGGTCCATCTGTGTTGTCACAAATGGCAGGATTTACTTCTTTATCATGGCTGAATAATATTCCATGGTGTGTGTGTGTGTGTGTGTGTGTGTGTGTGTGTGTGTGTATGTGTGTGTGTGTGTGTGTGTAGATGTATCTTTGTTTCTATCTCTATGTCATCTATATCTATCTATATCTCACATCTTTATCCACTCATCTGTTGATGGACACCTAGGTTGTTTCCTTATCTTGGCTATTGTAAATAATGGTGCAATGAACTTGGGAGTGCAAATATCTCTTCAATATTCCATTTTAATTTTTTTTGGAAATATCTACTTTTAGGCTTATTCTTCCAATTTTTAAATATTGCCAACTAACTGAAAAAAAATTAAATGCTGTGTAAGTCAAACTAAACATGCGTCTGGGCTGGACCCAGTTTACTGCATCTGTGGAGAGTCTGAGCCATTACAGAATCAAGACAGGGTTGGGTGTGGAATCTGGGAGAGGAATGACTTTGGCAAAGAAAGCGTGTGTGAGGGAAATGACAGGAGTATAAGAGAGATGGAGCACTGGGCTAGGGAATAGAGCAGTAATGAGTCATTTAAGGAGTCAAAAGAGATCAGTTCTTCCATTTACATTTCTATTAAATAACTTTTATTGGGAAGATGCCAAAATATTTTATAATATTATATTTTCTCTCATGTCTGTATCTTTATAGTTATTTTCAGGAAAACAAATAACATCATATGTAGATGATGGGAACTGTTAAGAACCAGGTGGTTTATTATTCAGGACTTTAGGGAGTAGAAAAGGAAAGAGTAGGGGAACTGTCTAGGAGTGGAGGATAGGCCTTGGAGTTCTGTCTGTAAGTAGAGTGGAATAGGGCTAGATGAATATGAGGAGAAAATGTACCCCAGGAATGATATTCAATATTTAGAGTGGAAAGAGAGAACTGGGATTAGACAAAAGTGGAGAATAGCCAGGAATCAAGTCCTGGTGGGCTGGGAGGTGTTTTGGCAGTGTTGGTCAAAGCAGAAGCCAAGGTGAGGTACTGAACTGGGTGGCCAAGATCAGAGCCAGAACTATTGAATACAGAGCCAGGGATCTGGAGGCAGTTTGGAAAGATATGCAAGGGGGACTGTGCCAACAATATGTACCCCCTGGTTTGGGAGTTTTCAAGTGGGAAAATTGCTGAGTTCGTAATACATATTATGTAACATAGTAATTCTTCTTAGGCTATTCTTTAAGTCAATGTTGAATTAAGAGTGAAACTAGATTTAAAATCTGGAATTTTGGTTAAAAAAATTAAAACATCCAAACATATCATCTTTCCAACAAATGTTTTTTAAACAGACCTTTCAGCCAAGTTGCCTAAGAACAACAGTTGATGAGAACTGCACGTCTTCAAACACTGTCTACTGCAGGATGGAAACAGGAACCTCTGGGAATATCTGTGAGTCATAAAATGTTGTAAGGAACTTTCCAAAACGTTTTCTTGCTAGGATGGAGAGTTCTAATCTCATATTGGCAGGCTTTGTTGGCCACAAGGTACACTGTTTACTTTGATTCCTATTCAGCTGTCCTCTATGACCTTGGTTTATCAAGTTTTTGATATATTAGAACAGAAGACTTGCATAGAATGACAAGATTGTAACCCCTTCTGTTCTTTTGGTCTCTTAAAAGAAATACAAATAATGATCCTAATCTATGCTTCCTCTGTGAGTATGTTTAATTCAGTTGTCTTTGAAGGAAGTAGTTTGGATCACTCCCACAATTTTGAAAGCTTATAGTACTGGTAATTGAAGACATACGTTTTCTTTTAATTAAAAAAACATGTCAAAAAGCACTTCATAATTCTGTCAGAAAAGGGTATTTCTAAGTGTGGTGTGTCTGAATGCACTGGGGTCATTTAATCTAGTTTAAATATTAGTGCTTGAATTTGGAGAAATATAGACACAAATGCATATCTGATGAACATAGCTATCAATGTTAAGAATGGACCAAAAAGTGGGCCAGAAAAAAGAATACCCAATCATAAATTCTTTGAGTGTGAATAATTTCTCAATTTATTGTTTACAGATTTTTTCTATTTTTATTTAGTTTTTAAAGCAGAGGTTCAAAAGGTTTTGATTATTGTACAAAACTGTGCAGTCACCACCCAAATCATTATGTAGAACATTTCCATAACCTAGAAAGTTCCCATGTGACCCTTCTAGTCATTATTCCACCACCCCTCTCCTCCACACATTAGAAACAGCAGGGATTGGTTTTGCATGTTCTTGGACTTCATAAAAGTTGAATCATAGAGTATATACTTTCTTGGGTTTGGCTTCTTTGGCTCAGCATGTTTTTAAGATTCATCCAAATTGTGTGTTTAAGTTGTTCATTCCTTTACACTGCTCAGTAGTATTCCATTGTATAAGTATATACCACTGTCAGTTCTTTTGATGATAAACATTTGCACTGTTCCCAATTTTGGCTATTATAAATAGGGATGTAAAAGTCATTTTGTAATGTACGTTTTAATATCCCTTAGGTAAATACCTAGGAATGGGATTCCTGCATCATAAGATTTTATAAGAAATTGCCAAACAGTTGATTATACAATTTTACAATCTTACCAGCAATGAATGGAGTTCCATATCCTTGTCATCTTTAGTATTATTAGTCTTTTTGTTTTAACCTCTCAAGCGAGATTGAAACATTAGTACATTATGTTTTTTGGGTTTTTTTTTTTTTTGCATTTCTCTGATTACTAATGATGTTGAGGAACTTTTTGTGTGTTTATTGACCATCTCTATGTCTTGCTTTATGAAGTATCTCTTCGAATTTTTTTACATATTAAAAAATGTACTGGTACTGCCATCACTGGGTCGTGGGGTAAATCTATTTTTAACTTTTTGAGGAAACTTCATACTGTTTTCCACAGTGGCTGCACCAGTTTGCATTCCCACCAACACTATAAGAGGGTTCCCATTTCTCCACATCCTCACCAACACCTGTTGTTTCTGGTGTTGTTAATTTTAGTAATTCTGACAGGTGTGGGTGGTATCTCATTGTGGTTTTCATTTGTATTTCCCTGATGATGAATGATGTTGAGCATCTTTTCATTTGTCTGTTAGTCATATTAATGTCTTCTTTGGAAAAATGTCTGTTCATGTCTTTTGCCCATTTCTTAACTGGGTTCTTTGTTTTTTGGGTGTTGAGTTTGATAAATTTTTTATAGATTTTGGATACTGACCCTTTGTCAGATATGTCATTTGCAAATATTTTCTCCCATTCCAAAGACTGCCTTTACTTTTGTTGATTGTTTCCTTTGCTGTACAGAAGAAGCTTTTTATCTTCATGAAGTCCCAATAATTCATTTTTGCTTTTATTTCCCTTGCCTCCAGAGATATGTCTAGTAAGAACTTGCTAGGCCAAGGACAAAGAGGTTGCTGCCTGTGCTTCTCTAGAATTTTGATGGTTTCCTATATCACATATAGGTATTTCATCTATTCTGAACTAATTTTTGTGTATGGTGTAAGGAAGTGGTCCAGTTTCATTCTATATGTTACTGTCCAGTTTTCTCAACATTTGAAGAGATTGTCTTTTCCATTGGATATTCTTTCCTGCTTTGTTGAAGATTAGTTGACCATATAGTTGTGGGTCCATTGCTTGGTTTTCTAGTATGTTCCATTGATCTATGTGTCTGCTTTGTGCCAGTACTATACTATCTTGATGACTACAGCTTTGTAATATAGCTTGAAGTCCAGAATTGTAATGCCTCCAACTTTGGTTTTCTTTTTCAGGATTGCTTTGGCTAGTCAGGGTCTTTTGTGGTTCCATACAAATTTTAGGATTGTTTTTTCTAGCTCTGTGAAATGCTGATGGTATTTTGAAAAAAAATTTTTTTCAACGTTTTTTATTTATTTTTGGGACAGAGAGAGACAGAGCATGAACGGGGGAGGGGCAGAGAGAGAGGGAGACACAGAATTGGAAACAGGCTCCAGGCTCCGAGCCATCAGCCCAGAGCCTGACGTGGGGCTCGAACTCATGGACCGCGAGATCGTGACCTGGCTGAAGTCGGACGCTTAACCGACTGCGCCACCCAGGCGCCCCAACTGATGGTATTTTGATAGGGAGTACGTTAAATGTGTAGATTGCTTTGGGTAGTATAGACATTTTAACAATGTTTGTTCTTCCAATCCATGAGCATGGGATATTTTTCCATTTCTGTGTCCTTTTCAACTTCTTTTCTAAGTGCTCTATAATTTTCAGAGTACAGATCTTTTACATCTATGGTTTGGTTTATTCCTAGGTATCTTACTGTTTTTGGTGCAATTGTAAATAGGATAGATTCCTTGATTTTTTTTTTCTGCTATTTCATTATTGGCGTATAGAATTGCAACAGATTTCTGTGTGTTGATTTTACATCCTATGACTTTGTTCTGGCAATATTTTGGTAAAGCCTTTTGAGTATTCTATATAGAGTATCATGCCAACTGCCAAGAGTGAAAGTTTGACTTCTTCCTTGCCAGTTTGGATGCCTTTTATTTCTTTTTGTTGTCTGATTGTTGAGGCTAGGATTTCCAGTACTGTGTTAAATAACAATGGTGAGAATGGACATCCAGTCTTACTCATGACTATAGAGGAAAAGCTTTAAGTTTTTCCCCACTGAGGATGATAATAGTTGTGAGTCTTTCATATGTGGCTGTTGATGTATGTTCCCTCTAGCCGTACTTTGTTCGTGTTTTTTGTCAAGAATGAGTGCTGTATTTTGTCAGATTCTTTTTCTGCACCTACTGAGAGGTTCTTATCCTTTCTTATGTTACTGTATGTCACACTGATTGATTTGCAAATATTGAACCACCCTGTAACCCAGGAATAAATCCCACTTGATAGTGAATAATTCTTTAAAGTATTGTTAGATTAGACTTGCTAGTATCTTGTTGAGAATTTTTGCATCCATGTTCATTAGGGGTATTGGCCTGTAATTCTACTTTTTAGTGGGGTCTTTGTCTGATTTTAGAATCAAGGTAATGCTGGCCTTGTAGAATGAGTTTGGAAGTTTTCCTTCCATTTCTATTTTTTGGAACAATTTGAGAAGATAGGTTTTAACTCTTCTTTAAATGTCTGGTAGAATTACCCTGGAAAGACATATGGCTCTGGTCATTTTTTTGTTGGGGGATTTTTGATTCAATTTCATGTTTATGGATCTGTTGAAATTTTCTACTTCTTCCTGTTTCAGTTTTGGTAGTTTGTGACTTTCTAGGAATTTGTCCCTTTCTTCCAGATTGCTCAGTTTGTTGGCATATAATTTTTCATAATATTCTCTTATAATTGTTGGTGTTTCTGTGGTGTTAGTTACGATCTCTCCTCTTTCATTTATGCTTTTATTTATTTGGGTCTTCTCTTTTTGATAAGTCTGGCTAGGGGTTTATCAACTTTATTAATTCTTTCAAAGAACCAGCTCTTAGTGTTGTTGATCTGTTCTACTGTTTTTTTGTTTGTTTGTTTTTTGTTATTTGTCTGTTTCTATAATGTTTATTTCTCCTCTAATCTTTATTATTTCCCTTCTTCTGCAGGCTTTAGGCTTTATTTGCTATTCCTTTTCTAGCTCCTTTAGGTGTAAGGTTAGGTTGTGTATTTGAAACTTTTCTTCCTTATCAGGTAGACATGTATTGCTATATACTTCCCTCTTATGGCCACTTTTGCTGTATCTCAGAGGTTTTGGACTGTCATGTTGTCATTTTTATTTTCTTCCCTATATTTTAAATTTTCTTCTTTAATTTCCTGGTTAACCCATTCATTATTTAGTAGAATGTTCTTTAACCTCCATGTATTTGTGGGTTTTCCAAATTTTTCTTGTGACTGACTTCAAGTTTCATAGTATTGTGGTCTGAAATTATGCATGGTATGATCTCAATCTTTTTGTACTTGTTGAGGTCTGATTTATGACCCAGTGTGTGATCTATTCTGGAGAATGTTCCATGTGCCCTCGAAAAAAATGTGTATTCTGTTGCTTTAGGATGAATATTCTGAACGTGTCTGTTAAGTCCATTTGGTCCAGTGTGTCATTCAAAGCCATTGTTTTCTTGTTGATTTTCTGCTTAGATGATCTATCCATTGCTGTAAGTGGGGTGTGAAAGCCCCCTGCTATTATTGTATTATTATCAATGAGTTTCTTTATGTTTGTTATTAATTGATTTATCTATTTGAGTTATTTCAAATTGGGGACATAAATATTTACAATTGTTAGATTTTCTTGTTGGATAGACCCCTTACTTATGATATAATACCCTTTTTCATCTCTTGTTACAGTCTTTGGTTTAAAATCTAGTTTGTCTGATATAGCTGTGGCTTTCTTTTGATGTCCCTTAGCATGATAGATCGTTCTCCATCCCCTCACTTTCAATATGGAGGTGTCTTTAGGTCTAAAATGAGTCTCATTTTTTTAAATCAATTCTGATA